TTTCTTGAAACAGACTTCCGTCGATCGAAAAAAGTTGGAATAGATCTAACATCATCGTAGTTTTACGATGTGTTCACTGTTATTCTATATGTGCATGTGTAGGTCGATAATTGTTATTGTTATTGCATCTTCAATCTAGGTGCCACATTATTTATATTGCGTAAGATACCAAGGTTTTGAAAAATTGATATCTTGATGATACTACATACAAAAGTTCTATAATCTTCTGTAGGTGTACACCTCATTGTGACTTTGTTTGCGGACACGTTATAGATTACAGATTTAAAATTATGATTTTGTTTAAAGATTGACGTCCTAAAGGAAGGAGTTCACTAAAATTTAACATGACGGTCAAAATTTCTTAGAAGAATGACTCCTTTGAGAGTCATTATGAACAGCCGATTTACTACTATTTAGCAAAGTATGGGCTCAGAAGCTACAGATCAATTGAGCAACTCCTCCATCGCAACTAGTCGAAAAAGACTGCATTTATATATGAATGCTTAAACTTTATACAGCAGAACTATTCGTTTTAGTATTTTATTTAAGGATTATCGATTAAAAAGTCAGCTTTTTTGGTAAAACAATAGTGCAGACTTCCAATTTTTCCTTCGGTTAACTGACTATTAGGTCCGCATATATATATATATATGTAAACTTGTTTCATGCATCATTATCTAGCTCAAAGAATTGCACAAGCAAATGACAAAGCTTTATTAAATGATGTACTTATTGGTCAAGCCAAACAAGCATTTGATAATAACGATTTTCCAAAAGCTGAAAGTTATCTTTTACAAGCCCAACGACCTGATCTTGCTGTTAAATTATATAAAGATAATGGTAGTAATTATAGAAAGAAAAAAAGAGGAATTTTTTATTTAATACAACTATCATTTTCATTTTTTAGGTTTAATTCAAGATGCATTACGTGTATGTCAAGAATATATGCCCAACAAACTTGATGATTTACGCGAAGAACTAGCTCGTGGTGGAGGAATGCCTACTACTCCTGGACATCGACCAACAACATCATATAATAATGATGGTGTTCTTGAACAAGCTGCACGTTATGAAGCTCAAGGTGAATATCAACGTGCTGTTGATTTATATTTACGTTTGATGCCACAACAAGATATTCCAAAAGAAACACTTGTGAAAGCTTATCTGAAAGCAAGTGATTTAGCAAGAAAATTTCTACCTGAAAGTAAAGCTCAACATGTTATACGAACAATAGGTCCACGTCTTGTTCAACTTGGTAATCCAAATCAAGCTGCCGAACAATATTTACATGTTGAATTACATAAAGAAGCTGTTGAAGCATTTATTGCTGGTAAACAATGGGAAAAAGCTAAAAAATTAGCATTAGAAGTTGATCCACAATTAGCTAAATATGTTGATGGACTTTACAAGAAACATTTGAAAGAACATGGAAATGCTAAAGAATTAATTAATGTTGATGTTACAGCTGCATTAGATTTATTTGTTGAAAAAAATCAATGGGAAGAATGTTTTGTTGAAGCACAAAAACATGGTCCATTAGTTTTACATGGTTATTTAGCAAAATATGCTGCACAAATGATACAATCAAATCGTGCTGAATTAGCTGCTCATGTTTATAAACAATATGGAGCTATAGCTGTACCACAAAATTTAAGAATTTATAAAGCATTATTTTATCGAATGGTAAGAATTGATTCATTAAAACCTGATAATTATTCAAAATGGGCTGATGTACGTGATGTTTTACATGATGTTTTTGAAAATATGAGTTCATCATCATCAGGATCAGCAGGTGGTATACAAAAAGAAATTGAAGAACAACGACCGACATTTGAAATTCTTCTTTGGTAAAATCAAAAAGCTGTTAATCTTTAAAATGAATTCAAAAAAATATATATGTATATTTTTTTTCTTCTAGGGTTGCTCATATGAATGCAATGCGTGCTGCATGTTCCGAACATGAACAACTTGATATAATAACAGCAAAACTTTCAATATCACTTCTTCGTCATTCGGATATTTTACCTGTTGATCGCGCATTTTATGAAGCTGGTATAATGTGTCGAAAAGTTGGTTGGAATGAAATGTCAATGGTATTTCTTAATCGTTATTTGGATGTTGTGGATGCAATTGAAGAACATAATCCTGAAATGTTAGCAACATCAGATTTTGTTGAAACAGATGTACCATATGAAATTGAATTACCTGAGCAACCATTTTTACCATCTGAACAACATGAAAAAATTAAAGAACATGTCTTAGCACTTTCAATGAAACAAGCAGTAAGTTTTAACTTACATGGGAATTTTTTCAATTTGAAAATGACTCTTGAATTCGAATTCTATGCATAAGATGGAATATAACGAACTATTAAAAATCCTGAAATGATAAAGACTCTTATGTCTTTCCTATAGAGTTAAAATCATTTTATTTCGCTGTTTGTTTCTGATCGCTTGTCGGATAGCATGCGGGCTATGCTGTGACATAAACCTACCCATGTGGTTAGTTTGTAGAAGCAATTCAGCACAAGAATTTTGCGTCAGGCTGGCTTTTTGTTTGGAACTGCAGTTGGTATTAGTTGTAGGTTAGATATCGAGCAATTGAATCTGCCACTGAGCAGCACCTCATACCGCAAGATAGTTGAAAGTTTCAATTTTAGGATCCTCAAAATCTTAGGCACGTTTTTCTATAAAACCGATGATTGGTTTGACATTGAGCCTTGAATATAAAATCCTTTTCTCTCATCCGAAAGAAAATACATTTAACTATTGAATAAAAAAAATTTGTTCGGAAATCGACAGTTTATGGAAGAACTAATTTTGAAAAAAAATGTACACATAGTTACGGTATATTTAGTTAGATCGCTTTCTAACATAAGCATGAGATATGATCATATTACGTATCAATTAAAAGTTCATCTAAAGTCTTGTTTAGATATTATTCTTTGCGCTGAAGAGCTTTATAAATTTATCAATACTAAAACTTGAAGTCATTTGATGAATTTTCAAACTAATTAGATACGTTAGGGATCATGATTATATGTTCATCTCAAAAAAGTATTTTTTTTTTTTACAAAAGATCGATTTTTCAAAAGAGGAGGGTCATAATATTTTTGAACTCTCAAAATGAAGTGCTGAATATAGATAAGAAGTTGCTTGCATTTTGTAGAAGCACTCTAATAGAGATAATGAAAAATCGTAACTCGAACAAAATTGATGATCGAAAGTACTTCACCTCATTTTTGTCTATAGATAAGATCTACCTACAATTAGAATGTTCTGATAATTTCAGCTCAATATATTGTCATTCGATTCTTTTGTATATACTCTGCACGAAGCTAAAATTTCAGTACAATAGCTATAAATTTGTAGAGAAGGCTTCGGGTTCCTAATCATTTTAGGATTTTTAACACTTCATCGCAGCCTATCTTCTACACAAAGCCTGAGTCAAGGAAGAAAAGGGAAACTTCAGCACTCTGAAATATGAATGAAGTATGATACTTCAAAGCATTCCACTGTCCTTCACTCATACTTCACTCATACTTCAGAGTACTGAAGTCTTGCTTTTTCCCTCTTCATCTAAATTCAAAAAGCGATTTTTAAGTTGAGAAGATTCTCTCGTTAATATCGTTTTGTTTTTATTGCTGATTGATTACTATTTGTTTTTTTACTTAGGTAAAACCTGCACTTCGCCGTGATTCTCGTAATTGTATTGAATTTTCATTAATTAATCCTGAAACAAATGAACGTTCACTGCCTTGTCTTATAACTGGTTATCCAGTACTTGATGATTGTGTCGTTTTTGATCGACATAATTTAATGGCAAATAAAGAAGATTGGAATAAATTTGTTTTATCGGCGAAATCAATTCGACGTGAAACATTGCAAGATTGTTTGAAATTTCTTGCAAAATGGACAGGAACACAACCCAATGTCAGTTTGTAGTTATGCTCTGTTGTACGGTTTTTTTTTTATAGAAAACAAGTAATACACATTTCGAAATAAAATTATTGTCTATTGTATTTAAATCATCAATAAACTATTTAAACGGATAAGAATTCCAAAACCTAATAAAATGGAATAACAATTTGAAAAATCAATTTTTGATAATCATCAAAATATTATTTGATACTTTTATATTTGAACTATAAACAGATATTGGTGGACATATTTTTTATCGAATATTATGGAATAAATATAACGTAAAAATAGTAAGTTCATTATAACATCGTCTTTTTTTGGTTCGGTTTGATTCTTTGATCAAAAAGCGACTCGAGATGATCAAAGAACAATATCACAAGTGTTCGATTAATTTTATGGTTTGATGAAATACAATGTTAAACAGAGAGACAGAGAGAGGAAAATTGGTATAATCATATAGTGTCAGTGAGTTGGAATCAAAACAATCTTTTATATGACCTTGATTTGATCAAAATGCATACGAATCATTATAGTATTGACGGTCGACAATTGATACCTTCTTCTTATCATTGTTAAGAAAAATATGGTTTTCAAGTCTACTTTAGTCCTTTTACAATCAAATAGAGACATTACAAATTACATAAAATCAATGATATTCATTCAGTTTTGGTATAATTTAATGTCCTTCACACATAAAAAACCTTGTTTTCTTCACCTAACAGGCACTATGTTTTGTAGAATACAAAGGTACTTTTCTACATATGCCAATGTAAACACAACTACAAGTAATGTTTCTAAGACAACCGACTTGTTTCATCATTTATTTCTTTTTGTGCGTGCGTGTGCCCATCTATCTATAGGTTTTTTCGGTATTCTAATTACAAATAGTTTACAATGCTATTCTCTCACTCTCTCTTCATATTTCATCTATATGAAAAAAAAAGAAAGAAAGGCATACTCGTAGAGAACTCGTGATTGTTCTCTTTCTCTTTATTGTGTCTATGTAACCACAAAAGAATCGACGAATAAATATCTTCAGTGAACTCTTATATGATGTTCGACAATTCGATAATATCATCAATGACAGTCATCAGTTACAATCGACGTCTATCAATTGTGATTATTTTACTTACATCATTGGCCGTTCTACTAGTTGCAACATCAGTCGCTGCTTTTGTTTATGTTACACGAAAAGGTCTTCTAGAACGAATCATTCTGTACATAGTAAAATAATAGATATATTTCATATAATTTTCTTTTTCATAGAAAAAGTTCTTCGAAAATCCCATTTGATATCTGTAATCATCATAATATTTGTCGAACTTGCATTTTTAATTGCTGTTGTTAGTTGCTTTAGTATTCAATCGAAAAGTAAAATATTAAAAAATTTCATATTTTCTTATTAACTTTCTTCCGTTTAGACCTCCAAGGCCAAATTTTAGCTGCTCTTCTAATTGTTCTCTCTTTTCTTGCTCTTATGACACTCATCTATTTTCTACGTAAATAATATTTGTTTAATTTATTCTTTGTTTTTTTTTTTCAATAAATAATTTTATTTCTGTTAGTCGAAGATATACTCAAAGAACGAATCCAACCATATCCAAATGATACAACTACTTCGAAATCATTTACGGTACAAGAAACCAAACCAGCTAGTCGACATGATTCACTAAAACCAGCAGCTGTTGATGATACAGCAATACCAATAGCTACACCACCTATACTTCCATCATGCCCTCGAATACCAACTCCACCCTTACCACGCACATCTCCCCCACTAGAAAAACCTGTAACTCCACCATTACCAATTATATTTTCTTTACCAGAAAAACCTGCGCCTGCATCAATTGAACCAGTGGTGACTGTATCATTAGAAAAACCTTCATCACCATTAACGACAAAACCTATGACTCCACTTTCTGTAAAAAATCTTTTTCAACTTGAAGAACAACTTCCACCATATAATAGCCATTTTGAAAAACTTCGTCGAGGTATTATTTGTCAAAATATAAACTCTATGACAAATCTTTGTTTAGATTTGTTAGCAGCTATTGAAGAACGAACAATTCCAGCACTTGAAGAAGCTATTCAACAAGTTAAAGATCATAATTATATTCAACAATTAAAATATGAATGTGAACGAGCATTAGAATTATTAAATCGTTTAATGAAAATCGAACATATGAGGTAAATAAGATTGATTAGATTTCAATAGACACTTTAGCTTCCCTCCTTCTTTAGATTTTCACCTGTACCTTGGGGAAGGTAGTTAAGCTTTAACTCTCTTTCCTTTTTTATTTGCATGCATTTATAAGCATGATACACTTTAAACTTCTTTTTAACAAAAAAATATTATTTCATTTGAATTTTGATTTTCTTCTTAGAATTAAAGTACTTCGACTAAATCAAACAACAATTGCTGAATTACATAGTTATACAAAACCACCAGATGAAGTTTCAACAGTGATGCGTGCTACTTTTTTACTTCTTGGACATTCAGAAAGAGAAATACAAGTAATAAGATATTTAAAAAAATATGTAGTTGTTAAAATTCATTTTAAGGATTGGCCGCAAATTCAAAATATATTAGGTCGTTTTGGAAGAGAAAGTGTACGTCGTCGATGTTATGAATTAAATCCACTTAGTATACCTGTTGATAAAGCACGTGAAGCAAAAGATATATTAAAAAATTATGATTTAATACGTGTTACTGAAATATCTGTTGGTTTATCAGCATTTTTCAATTGGGTAAATTAAATAAAAACTTATTTTGCTATGATAGAATTGTATTTTATATCATTTCTATAGGCTATGACAATGATTGAAGAACGAGAAAAATTATTAGAATCACAACGAAGAATTATTCGATAGACATTCGATTAATATACACAGATGTGGACGCATAAGATCACAAATCTATTCATTTCTTAGATTATTAAATCTTATATATGATTCGATGCAGAATTTTATACTTAGTCGTTTGGTAGGCATTTCAGATCGATTCGATAATGTCTCGTGTATTATCGATAACGTGAGATAACTTGCTAATAACTTTGTATATCAACATTACTTTCGTTCCAGATTGACCTCACTAGATAGAGCATTCAATTTTCTACCAATTGCTATAAGAAAAATCTAGTAAAACAATGTATCATTATATTTTATTCGTTACTTTGTTGCCGATGAGTTGTATATTGACTGAAAATTTGATACTGATCATTAACTTCTTAAATAATGGAGACTCGTAACGCTTGGTTGCACTAACTCTATATATCGCTCGGTAACACTTTTCAGATACTGACCACCTGACAGATCTCAAGTATATTATGCATTAAATAGAATTTTGTGTTTTTTTTAAAATATATTTAGTAGACTTTTAGTCATATTTGAAATCGGCATAAAAATTGAGGCGACTTATGTATATTTCAAATGCTTTTAGAACTTTTTTTTTGTCTAAAAAATTTAGCTGACATCTTTCTGAGAGTCCAGTCAAAAAAAAAGAGTTTCGCTAACATATTGTTTAGACAGTCGTGATTGAGGTCAAAGCTTATGACATGTTATTAGAACCGAAAATGGCAGACCACTCAACAGTGAAAGAAGTAGTTTGATGGAATTCGTTTTTCTAGGAAATACTGAGAGGAAGAAACCTCAGCTGAATTTTTCGTTGAGAAAGAAATCTTCAAATAAAACATTAGGAGTAGATATAAGTCGACTGAAATAATCTACCAAATATATGTAAAAAAGGCGCAAGATCATGTGGAGTAAATAATATGTCTGAGGATTTCTTGGGTGACCAATATTCATTGAATTTGAACAGTGCTGTCAAATGGTTTATAGAGAGTTAGTTCAATAGAACCTTGTGAGTCTCCATTATGCAAGAAGTCAACGATTCATACCGAATTTTCAGCTAACATAACACTAACGGCAAGAAAGTAAAACATAAAAGACAATTATAAGTTGTCTTACTAGATTTTTCTCATAGTAATTGATATAGTATTGAACACTCTATCTAATGAAAGTAATATTGATGTACAAAATTATGATAAAGTTATCTCATGATATCGATAATACTCTGGACGATGAAGAACTTAAGTTAGTATTTCTTGCTTTTATTACTTTAGACATTATCGAATCATAAATAAATTTGAATAACCTCCGAAATAAGCAGATTCGTGCTCTTATGCATCTTCGTTCATTCCTTTTTTTTCAAAGATTTTTGAAATGATACAATATATATAGATACAGGTTGGGGACTATAAAACAGCAATCATCGTTTGATTTCTTCATAGTTAAATCTATTTCGAAATTGAGAAGAAAATTTTGAATACTAGATTATCTTCAATCAGTACTTTTATTCAGAATAAAAGAACACATAACACACATACGTGATCAGTATAATGAAAAAATGTTCAATGAAATTTTCTTATGATTAAAAAAAGGACAAACATTAATTAAAATTTAATAATAGAAAAAAAACAGAATGATCAATATCACAAATGCATATAAAAATCTAAACATATATACTTAAGGGTCTTCTGCAATGCTTGTTTCCGTATATTCTGGTAATAATCTAGTTGTACTGAAAACATCAACATTTTCATTAATTGTTATAGTATATGCATCGTCATTATCATCTTGTCGATCAATTAATAATTGTACATTTTCTGATTGTCGATGAGGCGTAGTTATATATTGTCCACCAATACTAGACATTGATGATAAAGATGTTGATGATAAATGTTTTATTTTTCTATCAATTGGATATCGTTGAATAATAGTTGTATCATCATCATCATCATCAACCGATGACGATTGTTTTCGTTGTTGTTGTTGCTGCTGCTGTTGTTCTAGTTCAAGTTGATGAAGTACATGACGTATATCATGAGCAAGTTGTGTAAATGATGGACGTTGAGCTGGATCAGCATGCCAACAGACAATCATGGCTGATTTATATAATAATTGAGGACAATATGAAGGTTGTTGAAGACGATAACCATGTTTTATATAAGTATATATATCAGCATTATCAATACCTGGATATGGTGTTTTACCACGACTCATTAATTCCCAAAGAAGAACACCAAATGACCACTAAAATAAAAATAAAATAAAAGCTGTTAACGTATGTCTTGCAGAATTGATATATGACACATAATGTAACTACTCTTGTTGATCATAGTGATATTGTTTTATTCTATCTATTTTGGAGCACATTTCTTCATCATCCTTTTACTTCATCTTTCAGAAATACAATAAAGAAGTAACCTGTACTCATATGTCAACGCCTGTTACGGTCTGTGACATAGGACCTATTGAGTAAATAAATATCCTAGGGTGGATCGGATTGCTGAGATATTAAATTTTTAGTCGATTTTTACTATAGAGCGCTAGTTTTCAAGCAGAATTATACTTTTGAGTTTTGACCTGAAATTTCACTCCCACATAAAAGCATCGACTAGATTGGCTTATAGAAAAGTTTCAAAATATTTTCAAAATATAAATTATTTAACATATCGGCATTTTGCCAGGATTATTTTAAAAAATGTATATTTGGAAAGCTTCATAACTCGAAAAGTCTTGGTCGACAAATTCTGAAATTTTTCCTACCAGGTAGTCTCTAATTGGTGTCTTTATGTGAGTCAAATTTCAGATCAGAATTTAAAAGTATACTTTCGCTTGAAAAGTAAGGCTGGCCAGAGAAATTTCACTAAACAATCGAAATCTCAGCTACAAAAGCATAGCAGCTCGAACCACTCTCGAATATTTATGCATTCACTGGATCCTATCGATTGAATATAGTACCATCTCAAAAGTGATTTGTCACTCGAGAACATTTTCTCGTAGTACCTGTCACAGTCTGCTGTAGAAGGAGAGCATAACGTTCATCTAGGCGGAAAGTAGATAAAAAACGAAAGGAAATTTTTTATGAATTCAAATGATAATAGATATATCTCAAGATGTAGTCTATCTGCTGACATAAAAGTTTTTATTAAGAATGCTAGATAGAGTGGAAAGCCTATGGTTAAAAACAATTAAGTTTTTGCATCAAATTCAGCCCATGATTAGGCAAAAACTATACGTATTCTGTAAGGAGAAGCAAAAATATTTCTTTAGTGAGTTTCTGAATAGCTGAATTTAGGTAAAGGAGTACGCCATCATCAGTCATGATCTTCTATACCTCAACACTCCTTGTATATCCTATTTCACAATCTAATATTTATTAAAAGTTTGATAAACATTATACTAACCACATCAGATTGAATAGTATATTTCGATGATTCAATAGATTCTGGACTTAACCATCGAATTGGTAAACGTCTTGGTGTTATTTGTAAAATTTTTCCATCGTTTTCTTGTGTTGTTGTTGTTGGTACAATATAATAATCTCGATCGATTACATCTCGACTAAGACCAAAATCTGATATTCGACATAGTAATTGTTCATCCAACATACAATTTCTTGTAGCTAAGTCTCGATGAACAAATTTTAGTGAAGCAAGATATTCCATTCCATCAGCTATTTGAATAGCCCATGTTATTAATTGTCTTATAGTTGGTCGATTTTTTTCATTGATTAAATAACTTCGTAGATCACCATTTTTCATATAGGGTAAAAGTACCATTGCTTTACGTGATGAATCCCATGAAACACCAATTAATGAAAGAACATTTGGATGAGAAAACTCTTTCATACGATTTGCTTCAAATAAAAATTCACGCATTGATGAAACATTATGATCACGTAAAACTTTAATAGCAACTTCAATTGATTTATTTCTAGTTTGTTTTAATTCACCTCGATAAACATCACCAAAACAACCTTGTCCAACTTTTTCATAAATGCTAAGATTTTTTCGATTAATTTGTCGATTTTTTCCAAGTTCATACCATATTGTTTGATAATGTTGAGGTGGTTTTGTTTCTTTTCGAAATTTATCAGATGAATGATAAAAACGACGTCGTGTTAAAATTACTAATGCAAATAGAATAGTCAAAATTGTCATTGAAAAAATAATTAGTAGAATTAAAATTGCCCATGAACCAAATTGAAGAGATATATATGGAACAGGTAACGATGATGATTGATTCTGATATATAAGTTTTCCTATTGAAAATGTTAAATTAGTTCCGACATGAATCTACAAAAAAAGAAGCAGAAAAGTTCTATATGCCTACAAGATATGTGCATTATTCGTACAGTTGGTTCGCACTCGAATAGTATGTTCAGTAAAACTTATCCTGACAGTAAATCAGTTTAACTCAAAAGTTATTGAATTTCACCGTGACGAATATAATATTCAAAATCGTCTTAAATCTAAATTTTTTTGCAAATTTTATTAAAAAACACCTGAGCAAGATTGAGACGAATATCTTCTCTCGTCTTCTATATTGCCGAATCAAATATTCTTTCTTGGTATTTTCAAGTTTATATTATTGTTTATATGCGAATGTTAAAAAATGAAACATAATAGTGTGGTGTCACAAATATGAGAAAAAAATTTCTTTAGGCGTGATGCATATTTCTGGAGCATACTATGAATGTACTTATTGTCTTTGACTCTAACGAAGGAACGACTTTAGACGTCAAATCGCTTTTCGACCGAGGCCATGTTTATTTGATGAATAATAGTGAGTAATAGAAAAATCTAGACTGATTTGGTTTTCTGGGCATTAATTCTCGAGATTCCAAAACTTTATTGTATTTTTTTCGACAAAAAGTTGTGATGCCCGAAAGTCACATAAAAAAACGACCTTCGATATTCGACTATGAAATTCACATGAACAAAGTTCTTAATGAGAATAGTTCATTATACAAGTACTAACTTTTCTACTATTTCTTGCCTGAAGATGAATAAAATTTGGTTTTATAA